ACTTGAAACTGCGCTCCATAATACTTAAACAGGATACATGAAAGAAAATTTTCTGGTTCCTCTGTGAAAAAGTTTAAAAGACGTTTGAAAGCCGCACTGCCTTGATACGCAACATTATTTTTGTGGCAACATTTATGAATGCGACTGAAAAAGAATGTTTTTTATGCGAATAAGAACAAAAAGTTTTACGACCTGATACATGTTTTTCATTTAAAAATCGGTACAACATGTTCTAACGATTTCCATTTCTACTCACATGTGTTTACGGCTAAGGCATGAAATCCGGACTGCATCCAAACATGTCTTCTTGCACATGAAATTTAGTCTAATCCCTTACCTCTTATTCTATCAGTTCTTAAAAAATGTTGTGGTTAGGGGTTGTTTGAGTGCCAAATTTGCTGTGAGCGAATTCGAGCAATGCGATTAGGCATTCGCGCAGATTAATAAAAAAAACATGCGGTATTTTTGCAATAACTTTCGAGCTAAAGCCATTTTAATCCAGATTGGCCGACTGAGCGTTCCAGCGTGCATCCTCGGCTTGCTACCGGTGTGCAATCCATCGACTGGCCTCTACTCGGGCGCTTGCCCCATGGAAAGCGTTTTCTTAAACGTTTGTTTTGCTCGTTCTTTAAATTTTATTGCATTTTTATAACCAAATTCTGTATAGGATTTTGGCTGAAGCAAGAATTTATCAAAAAATTTCTCAGGATATCAACCGCGAACAAGGATACGAAGGGAAGCACATATTTTCGATTTATAGCAAGACCGATCAATGGGTTGGATATAGCGTCTGTTATAGGGTAAATTTCTTTCAAATTGTTTAAACGCTTAAACAAAAGATCGCGTTAGTTTCCTGCTATAAAAATTTTTATTTTTGCTGAAAAAATGTTGCCGGCTGGCATGGTCCAGTGGGAAGTAAACACCGCTGTCGCGCAAAAGAACTAGGCAGTTCCGACTCTGCAACTGGAACAGCTCTACGATTCGTTCATTTGTTCCGATGGTAAATTGGTACTGGCATATGTCGGAGTGTCAACCTCGCCATCAGCTTGCTTATGAGCAACCCTCGAAAGATGACATCAACAGTTTTGCCAGAGGATGGTTGCTGTTAACATTTGTTGCTTGAACGGATAGCCTCGCAAGTGTTTTTGCTTCTCACCGGAGTAAATACGGAAGGAGCTTTGACTTTCGAATAAAATGTCGGAGCTAAATCATCTCGGTGCTCAAAAAATACCTTTGGGCTCGACATCGTGCAGTTCATTTCATTTCATATAGTAGTTACCAAGCTACTGTTTTTCTGTTTCAAATCCGATTTTCTTTGTTGGCAATCTCTCAAACAGACCGGTGCGCACAGTAACAGATTATTTTGAATTCTGAAATAAATGCACGTTTTTATGCGTGAAATATGAAAGCCTACACATTATCCCTTTCTGCACGCTTTTCTCGCTCCTAGTTTTTATGAAATTCCAGAGATTGCATAATTAGCGATTCTGAAAAATTTTCACACTTTTTTTATTTGAAATAACTTCGGTTTAATAGTGCTAATAAACTGATGGGAAATACATTGCAACTTCCTTTTGGTCTTAATGCACATTTTTTCAAGGAAATGCATATCCTTGTCAATCTGCAATTTTTCACGTGCAG